GGCCCCCCACTACAAAAAGGATGTGGATGCATTGGAGAGGGTCCAGCAGAGGGCAACCAAAATGATTAGGGGGCTGGAGCATATTACCTATGAGGAGAGGCTGAGGGAGTTGGGTCTGTTTAGTCTGCAGAAGCGAAGAGTGAGGGGGGATTTGATAGCAGCCTTCAACTTCCTGAAGGGAGGTTCCAAACAGGATGGAGAGAGGCTGTTCTCAGTAGTGACAGATGACAGAACAAGGAGCAATGGTCCCAAGTTGTGGTGGGAGAGGTCCATGTTGGATATTAGGAAAAACTATTTCACTAGGAGACTGGGGAAGCACTGGAATGGGTTACCTAAGGAAGTAGTGGAGTCTCCAATCCCTAGAGGTGTTTAAGTCTCGGCTTGACAAAGCCCTGTCCGGGTTGATTTAGTGGGGATTGGTCCTACCTAGAGCAGGGGGCTGGACTTGATGACCTTCTGAGGTCTCTTCCAGCTCTGTGGTTCTATGATTCTATGACTAGTCAACTATCTGATAAACAAAAGCTTATTGGATAGTTGACATATTAGTCAACTAGTCCCCCCCCCCTTTGCTGCCTCTATCACAAAGAGGCAGCAAGAGGGGAAGAGGAGAGGGTGCTGGGGGGAGCCAACTTAAAAGCCAGTTCCCTCCAGCTCTATGGGATGGGGCAGGGGTGTGGCAGCAAACTTCCTCTTTGAAATATACAAGAGGCTCTTATACATTTCAAAGATTGAAATGCTTTGGAGCCTGGGGACAGCCTGGAGTTCCCCACTGACCCCGGGCATCATGCAGGCACTTCCACTTTGAAATGTACAAGAACCCAGTGGCTCTTACTACATTTAAAATGCAGAGCCACAGCGTGTGTGGCTCTGGAATCCGCATGAGCCAGGAGTGCTCAGTCCTGGCTCAAGTCAGCTCCTCTGAAACTGCCTCCACTGCGGCTCTGCAGAGACACTTATCAGCTAATCATACAGTTGACACAAATTGTGTCGACTATACAGTTAGCTAGGTAATTGCATTTTAACATCCTTAGTCACAACCCCCTCCTTTACCCAAACTCCCTCTCAGACCTCACAACATCTCCTGCACCCCAGTCCCTTACCCAGTGTGCCCTTTTGCACCAACCTCCATCTTACACATCGCATCTCCTCTACAGAGAAGTGCAACCCTTGACCACTTTCCAAAATCTTGGAGTGGCTCCCCGCCCGCCAAAAATTATTGCCCACTCCTGATCTAAAGGAACATGGAAATCATAGATCTTTTTTGGTCTAGTAAACATCAGCCCCTTTCTCTATTTTATGTAATGTGTAGTAAAGAATATGTGTATGTAAAAACTGTTCAGAATTCACATGCATCATTATAGGAGCATTAGTAGCAATCTTTCTCTGTGTTGCCTAATATTTTTCATCTAGAAAGGATTCTTGAGAACTTTTATTTAAGAAGCTGTCATCTCCTTTGTTTGCAGCAGGTCTTTGAAATCCAGTGTACACAGTGCTTGATTTTTTCTTCTTTTGTTTTACAGCCCCCTGTCCTCCCAACCTCAGTGAAATTTGCTCAAATTTCTCCAGGAGAAAACTTTTTAAAAATCACTTTCTCTTCTCTTTCTTGGATTCCTCATAAAACTTTTGGCAGAAGGCTATTGCCAAAACAGCAGCAGACAATATACAGAACACCTGGGTGGGAAGGAACCAGGCCGTGTCCTTAGCAGTCCTGTTTCCCACGATGGGAACATTGCATAGAGCAGGGGACCCCTACTTCTGCAGGGGGGAAAGAAGGGAGCCAAGCCACACTCCATCTCATCAACCCTAGTGCATGGCTCTATCAACCTGTATCACCCTCACCCTCCCCAAAAAAATCCCCTCCCTTTGATGGCAGCAGTCTCCTGTTGTAAGCTATTATCCTTAGTCCTGTAACTCTAATAGAAATCTGTGGTGCAGTGCTAAAGATTCAGAGTTCAAACTATGATGATGGGAGAAGGCGGTGAAACGCAGATTGATCTAGATGTACACTTGTTTCAATCTTTCTTTAACATATACACACACAAAGCCAGGAAATTATATGCAAAAACCTGTTGTTTAGGTTGGCAAGTCAAGCCATTGAAACTTAAGAAATGCCAGATTAGCGATTGTCTGTGCTATTTTCATTCTCCCACCTTCTGCATGTACATTACTAGAAGACTTCTATCCAGCATTGCCCAGGTGCTTCAGGGCAGGGGGCTGGTGATGTGGGGAGTACAGGAGTCATGATGGGGGAGTTGAGCAGGGGTTCAAGGCATGGGGCTGCAGAAATAGGGGGTATGACAGTGAGGATTGTGGGGGGGGGTGAAAAGTTATGAAAGTGGCCCAACATTCTCAAGGCATGGGGCTGCAGATATTGGGGGTATGACAGTGAGGATTGTGGGGAAGGGAGGGGATGAAAAGTTATGAAAGTGGCCCAACATTTCCCATTATAAGATGCTGTTTTGAGTTGCTTGTAACTTTATGCTAGTGTAACCATTCATGGAGAACTTTTTCATGTTTGATGTGTCCCTCAAGCTGACTGCTTTGTAGAAAATTTCAGCCCAATGAGTCAACAAGAATGAGGATTCCATCAGATCAGTCTGCTATAGAAGAGTCTGTGAAAGGGTATTTTAAAATTAAGACTTCCACGCTACTTTGCAAAGTTCTCTGGGTGTATTAAAACACATTGATTGAACAGCCACGTTTACGTCAATTGAAACAGTTTTACTCTCGCACAGTTATAAACCTAGTATGAAGGCAATGGAGTAGCACAGATCTTAATGAAGAAACAAAGCTTCCCACAAAACAATTCTTCCTTTGAAGAGTGGTTTTTAATGAATGAGCATTATTGGGTTTTAATCTAGCAGGTAAAGTTGTGTCTCATTAGTTTATAGCATAAAAACTCCTTTTGGTATCAAAAGCTCCTAGCCTTGAAGTAACTGCCAACTTAAATACCTTCATTTTGTTTGGGTTTCTTCAGAAATAGATTACAATGTATTGTATATTAATTACAGGATATTCACCTTGCAAAACGCTTCTATGACATGGCAGCCGAAGCCAGCCCAGATGCTCAAGTTCCTGTCTTCCTAGCACTCTGTAAACTCGGGATTGTATATTCCTTGCAGTATGTACAAGAAACCAATGTAAGTAATGCAGATTCTTAAGAAGTGGTCCGTAACTCTGGAACTGCCATAGAAGTGGAAGCAAAGCATGACCCAAACTCTGTACCTTTTTAAAATAAGCTTTTCTACACTGTCTTGTTTCCTTCTATTTAACAAAGGAAATGGAAAGGACTAAAGTATAAGTCCTTTGAAACTGTGTAGGATATGCTCATTTTATCCTAATAATTAGAAACGCAAAGGCACAAAACAAGCTCAATCTAGTAGAGCAGTGGTCTCCAACCTTTTTACACCGACGATCACTTTTTAAATCTCAGAACAGGCAAAGATCTACCTCCCCGCCCCTTCCTTGAAGCCCCGCCCTCTCTATTCTCCTCCTGTCCATCACTTGCTATCCCCAGCCCTTACTTACACACTCTGATAAACAGTTTATATATTTCATAATTTAAAAATAAACTTAAAATCATGTGTTTATAGTTATGAAATAAATGGTCTGTTTTTTATTCATGCTATTTAAATCTAAAATGAAGCATTTATAATTATACATTTTGTGGGAGCAGAGTTCTGCAGCTGGGGACAGGGGAGAGGGAACAGGGTGCTGGGAGGGCAGAGGACAGGGTTCTGCAGCAGGGGACAGTGCCAGTGGAGACAGAGTTTGGGGAGTGGGGATAGGAATGGGGACAGAGTTCTGTAGCTGGGGACAGAGGAGTGGGGACAGAGCTCTGTAGCTGGGGACAGGGGAGTGGGGACAGAGTTCGGGGAGTGGGGACGGGAATGGAGACAGAGTTCTGTAGCTGGGAACAGAGGAGTGGGGACAGCGTTCAGGGAGTGGGGACAGGAATGGGGACAGAGTTCTGTAGCTGGGGTCAGAGGAGTGGGGTCTGAGGAGGGGCGAAGCCAGCACATGCCTCCTCTGGGCCCGACCCCTCCGCCTCCTCTCCCCTCCCCCCCGCAGC